TTTGCTGGCGTTTGAGTAATGTGATATATAAATGACATTTTATCATTTCTCTGAAGATAACATTGTTATATACTCACTAATAAATCACAGGATCACATTTATGATACATTTAGACACAGTATGACACTTATGTATGTTTAAATACAAATGATCCATTCATTTCAAGGAATCGTTTATAGAATTATTCGATGTCTCGAGTGATGTGTTTCTGAATTTTTATTTACCACAGAACAGCGCTGCCCAAGTCTTCACTCAATTTTACAGCTTTGAAGATAAGGTTTTGATACGTGTCTTCAAAAGTCTGAAGTAAATGGTTATAGACAAAGTGTAAATGCTAAAGAGAGTTACACCCTCCCCCAAATACAAACATTCCTGGAACGTGGTACCAGGCACAACCAGATATACTGTCATTAGAATGTCTGCCCTCGACCATTATTTATCTGCCATTTCTTTATGGCCAGTGGACCTTTGGTTTGTATTTACCTACATGCTGTATTTGACCCTGTCTTTCTCATTTAATGGGATGTTCAATGGACAAAAACAAAGCTGGTTACTTATGTCTTTTTAGTTAGGCTTGATATTGTAGTGTGTTATATTAATGCACGCGCATGAACCAGGTAAGTGCAGAACAAATTAGTTCTAACTAGGCACCAGTGTCATAGAATGTTTAAGATGGCATAGCCAGGAAAGCCATGGCAGGACTGGAACAACTTTAGAAATGGTAAGATGAAACCGTACAGAAGGCACCCAGACCACTTCATCTCATTGAGGTTGTCTGGTTGCAATGTACCTGTCCCCCTAACCCTGCAATGTGTTTCTGATAAACTGAAATAATTACATTGCAGGTTTAAGACAACCTCTAGTGGCTGTCAGTCAGAGGAGATCTGTGCTGGAATCGTATAAGTCTAGTAAGTGTTTATTAATACTTTGTATTCCTTGCATTATAATATCCCTTTAAGTAAGAGTCTTTCTGGTGACAATGCCACTCTAAACTAAATAAATATTTGTTTTTCAGATCATGTGCAATATGATAAAAGTGGTAATCTGCTATATTATCACAGTTTTTCATATTTATATTGTTTTATAACCTTTTTTTAAATTTTCTACATATTTATGTGTATATGCTTGTGCATAGACTGCAAAAGTTAGTCAGGTTTCAGCAGATGTGTGTTGAACTACATTAAAACTTGTATTTGTCGTCGTCCACTCCACACACCTCCGTTCACATAGACAATCTTATTTCTTCTGCACTTAGACTATGGATACAAATGGGGTCAAAATATCCACTCTCCAATATTCAGCTGTAGCGAGTAGAAATCCCCCCCTGTTTAGTGCACCATGGATCATGCAGTGACTTTTCAGCCTGGCTAGTAGTGTGGACTTGACATTTTGAGCCCTGTTATATAAATAATATAATCAACAAGAGACTGTAGCAGCACTGTATCACAATTTTTTAGTCTCTAACTAGGAAACGTTTTAGAGGTTAAATTAGCGGTCTTATGGCCTCTGTTAATCTGAACTATATATTCTATTTTCTTATGTATGTTTTTTGCTGCGATCTACCAAAGTGCCATTTGATTTGTGGTTTGTCTTATTCTTTCTGATGAATCTGTCTCAGATCCACCATTTTTTATTTCAGCTTCCTTTCACAGTAATGGACATTTTTAACCCCAACCCCTTCTTTAAAGGAACACTCCACGCACCATAACCACTACAGCTCATTGCCCTAGCACCCCCTCATTGCAAATCAACTTATCGTATTTAAGTGGTTTGGCTTATTACCTTTTGTTTATTGGGCACCACGCCACACCTTTACTGCTAATGCCCGAGAATCCTAAGCAGGAGCTAAGCCCAACAATGCTGGACTTGACTGATTGGCAATCACCTCTACTTTGGATTCCTCTTAATTACTCCATATCTGCAATATAGTTTCCACAGCAGTCTTTTTCACATGCAGTAATTTCCCTTCTGTATCTTTAACCTCGTTTCCTGCTGACAAATAGTAAGCTTGTTTTTCAATAAAACAGAGCCCTAAATCCTTTTGTGCGACTAAGGGGTAGATTTAAGAAAGTGCCGGTTACTTTAAAAAGTGGTACAAAGTGTTTATAGATGAGAAATCTCCATGGAAACCAATAGAATGTGCAACCACATTCCATTTCAGTGCACTTCTTCAATGCTTCTCATACATTAACTTGTTTGTAATCCTACTATGTTATAATATGCTAAAGAACTTGCTGGAGCATTGTTAAAAAAAAAAAAAATAGACATGGGGATACAAAAGAGATGGAGTAGAAATATATGAGATGATGACCCCCCCCAAATGACCAGGCGTCTTATTTTTACTGCAGACATTTTTTAAATCATAGAAGTTAAACTATATTATTGTGATGCCCAATGATGAATGATGCAGCCTTTCTTTATTCCCCCCTGCCGCCCATATTGCATATAGTATTATTTCTAATTCAATGTCAAACTGTATAACTGTACAGAGTTCTGTATCTTGAATTGTGACCAGAAATAAACATTGGAAGAAAAAGGACAGCTAAGGTGGGAATTTCTGGGTGAGATAGTGATAAACAGCGAGATCTTTAGAGACAGTGGACAGTTCTAAATAGTCCTCAAGAACGACATGTACCAAATGGTTTTCTTTAAAAATTTAAAATGAACATTAAAATAATTACTGAAGATTTCTGTATCACAGCCTCCCTGTAGCAGGAAACAGTTAAATCTAATCGGCATTGGAACTAGTAAACAGCTTCCCAGCACATAAATCGAGATGTCTAGGAATGTATGGTAGCAGGCAATCCCACAATTTCTTCTTTTTATGAAGTATTAGAAGCAGCGTGACTGATAGGATTTGAGGTGTTCTTTAGTAACTATTGATCTAAGAAGGCAATCTCAAGAATGTGTTTTTCCAGAAGTTGCATCTGGTTGCTCTGACCTGCCAACTGTTTGGACTCTTGGCTGACTCTGCTACACGCTCACAACTGTCTTCCAGTCTGGTGGAGAGTTAGACTGCTTCTTCGGTTTCCTTGAATAATGTTTGTGTAAACCATTAGCATTTACACTTGTGCAAGCAATACAAGGATTTTTATTTGCTTGAAAAAAAATAAATTATTTATATATATATATATATATATATATATATATATATATATATATATATATATATATATATATATATATATATATATATATATATACAGGCCTATATATGGATAGGTTGTTAAATATGCAGTCATTTGACGTGTGATTGCACAGTAGGTGATTTGTTAGAAATTTTATATTGAGATCCCTTCCAGTATTGATATCATGTAAGGTATACTTCTATGCCGTGTATCAGTGGTTGTCTCTCTGTATATGGGAGGGAAATTCTGAACGCTGGTATATTTTAATACGTCTCACATCAGGTAGGAAAGTCCCAATTTAAAACCACTATCCTGCCATCCCATAGGGTTTTTTTTGTTTGGTTTTTCCCTTTCTGCAAGGTCCAATTTTTGGGGATCCCAGGGAAAAGCCCTTAAACAGTGCAGAGCCAACACCTAATTCAGTGCGTTCTGGCAATACTGGGTTTTCCGTTCCGCATTATTCTGTGATTGGGGAGCATAGGTAAGGTTGTGTGCATTGTTAATAGTTTACAGTGTGCACATAACTGTCAAGCCAGTCTCAAGCAACTAAGCATCACGTTATCCAAATGCTTCACTGGTGCTCCCTCTAGATAGCATGCATCCTTGTGTCTCAATTTAATTTAATTTTTTTATTTTTCAACTCTCATAAGCTAAGCATAACAGGATAACCCCTACTGTGAGCAATTACTTTGCAGCAGGAATATTATGTTTAACAAAAAATATTAATTTTATTGTAATGCAACAGGAGCTGTGTGAGAACTGTTTAACTCTTAAAAAGTAAAAGCGCCAGGGCACTCCAAGCACCATAACAACTTCAGCAAGGTGTTTTTATGGTGACCCGAGGTTTCCTTGAATATAAACCTAAAAAAACCACAGCTTACTATGGATAAATGTATATTTTAATCACAGGTCTGCTTGGTACTTTACAATCTATACTATTTGAGAGAGGAGAAATGCAGGGTTATATATTTACTAAAGTGTGAATTCAAATTCAAGCCCAGAGCAGCCAAACTGAAATTATAGCAGATTTAGAGAACTTTTCCATTTCAGCTATTTTGAAATTTTAAATTCATTTTGTATGCTCACTTGATTGAATAAACATTACAGTGTGTACAGTAGTTACAGCTGTACGTTAGAATGGGAGATCTGTTCTCTACAGAGATTACGGTCTTAATTTCCGTAGGAGTTCAGTTCATCATATTTATGTAAAATCCATGTTGTGTATATTGTAGTTTTTTGTTTAGAAGATGTTGTTGTAGTCTGGGTTAGAACTTGTGAAATATTGGATCTTGGTAGATGAAAGTAGGCATGGAGTTCTGAAGGCAGGTTGCAGTAAGCTAGAAAGTTTTGTCTAGGTGCAGCCATTTACAAGTACAGCATGTTAGACAGGTGTAATGGCTTGCACGTTACTGTAGGCAAAGTAACTGGTTTATCTCAGTGAAGTGGTTATAGTATCTGGAGTCCTTCCATTCAGCATTCAGACATTTATTTATTTTTTACATTCTTTATTTAGTTTCAAGCAGAAAAGCATATCGCATTATAAGATGAGATACAGGCTTGTAAATAATTTTTTTTTTTTTTTATACAACAAATAATAACAAAGTATGTAACCTCAGAAGGATGAAGGGCTGTGTCAACTCTGCTGGGAATATGACCTTGGGGTTGAACAGATTCTACAGATGATGCATTAGCCCACTGAGCTATGTCAACGCCCTGAAATGAATGAATTGTACATAGAGTCCACTGGCGTTTAATATTTTAATGCTAAATTAGAGTTCCCAGCAACCTTTCCTCAACTGTGCTGCTAATTCAAATGACAAAGTATTAGCCTAAGCAGCAGTGATTGGTTGAGAGTGTCAGCTAGCTGTTTCCGTCTATCACAGCTTGCATTTAGGTATTAGTAGTTCTGAGATGATGTTGGCCAAATAGCCAATGCCCTCTGAAAAGCCTTTTCCAATGAACCAATCAGGCTGGAATAGTGAAAGTATTGGATCATGTCTTTATTGCAATAGAGGAGAAGCAGTGAGAACTGGTTCTGAGAGCATACACAATAAAGGGACACTAGTCACCAGAACAACTACCGCTTAATGTAGTTGTTCTGGTGAGTACAGTCAGTCCCTGCAAGCTTTTTCAGAGAAAAGGCAGCTTTTACATTACAGCCCAGGGACACCCCCAGTGGCCACTCCTCAGATGGCTACTAGAGGTGCTTATATAAAGGTAAGATTTTACTATATGTAGGGGGACAAAACATTTTTTTAACACTTCTGGGTCATTAATTTTTGTTGGTTCCTGACCCTATAGCGTTCCTTTAAGATCTTGAATATATGCATGACATCTGTGAAAGACAATAGAAAGAGAAAAAAACTAAACAGAAAGCAATTTTATCTTTGCAGGCTTAGTGCACACCGTTCTTTGTCTATTCTCCAAACAGGAAAGTAGATTTTTCTTATTGGGAGTAGGATAACTCCTCGAACATCTGCTGGCCTTGAAAGCCTTCGTTAGAAACCGTGAAAATGTTGTTGCAAAATAATTATACTGCAAAGTATACTATTATTATAGTATAGTTATTATTATAACTATATAACAGCAAGTTTGTCCAATATATAATTATACTGGTTTACATTTTAGCATTACATAACTTTGATATTATTAATAATAATAATATTATAATATTAATATTGATATATATGTAGTAAATAATCCTGATAATTATATATCTATCCATCCATCCATCCCCTCATCATCAAGGCTCTTATCATGGTATTCGCCACAATGACATTATGAACTCTGACTGTTCAGCAGTACTCTGTCCTCCCGTTTTGGCAGACAAGGTTATGTGGTTTGAAAAGCATGTCTTATTGGAAAACAACTGACTGTTTTGCTGAGGAATTTATGCGAAAGTATTTTGTGTATTTGTTTTCTTTCCTGGATTGTAAACTTGCAACCGGAGCCATAAAATGTAAACTGTGCTTTACTGGTGAGATTTAGTCACTGCTTGGAAAAAAACGACTATCATTTCAGTAAATTGCATGGCATTGACCTCACCCTGTCAGTAGTTGGAGCAGGTGCTTTTATCAAAGACCTTGACAGACAGCGTACTAGCTAGACTAGGTCAAAGAGCCGCTATGTCACTAGAACATCACATATTGCTGCATTTCTGCCACTAGGGTAAAAACCCACTTTGAAATGTTTAGGGCTTTCTAACATGCAGACAGGAGAATAGCTTATCTAATGTTAGCTTAATCCATTGGACTTCAGTAAAGCCGAATGAACATGAGAAAAGTAGCAATGTGCGTGTCGTCGGACAAGTTCTCTCAGTACTCTCAATGCTGCCCAGCTCTGGTGAAACTAATCCATTCCGAATGCTCCCTTGATCCAAGTCTGGGATGTGGCTCAATGTGCCAGGAAACTCTTGTTTCTGAGGCTTTCATTGTTGGCAGCTAGAGGAATGGTTACTGTTAACAAAGTCTTAGGTTGATCTTTCGAAGTAAAAAAAGTTACCCTGTTTCCCAAATCCTGCCTGTATAGTTTAGTATATGTTATAATCCCATGAAATGCAGTCTGCAGGTATTTTTGCCAAAATCTGTGCTTTAGTAATTGCTTTTTTTCTCTGTGTACAAGGACAGCCCAGAGAAAAAAAAATACCTCATACCTCCTGAATGGGTCCAAGGCAGCAGATCAATTTTAGCTCCACCCTTGGCTACAATGTCCACCTTGTTTCTTTGGACAAAAATAGTTTTATACTTCTTGATGGACAACATATGAAAAGTGCTACCTTGTGGTTTGTACAGGGTTATTTACTGAACTCTGAATTTTTAGAAATAAATTCTGCATGGAAAAAATGAGGCAAAAGTACCCAAATTGTAGATCTATTTTTCCAGCTAATCTTTTTTTGCCTTGAATTTACCATTCAGATTTATTTTACAAAACTATTCGGAATTTAATAGAATTCTCGTGCTATGGATATAAGTTTATTGTAACTCCTAGATCCACCGATTTTGCCCATGTGAAAGTGTTTCAGGTTCATTCAGTACATGGGCAGCCATGTTTGGGTGGCCAAGAATAGCACATGTGAAAGAGTACACAAGAATAATACTCCCCTTCTCCCCTCTTTGTTTCACTAGTCACATGCATTGGTGAATGGCATGCCCCCAGTTCTGTCCCAACTGTTACTGCTCTCTAATACATCCTGATTTCATATCTTCCATTTTTTTGGAGGTTTGGTACCCGTATGCTTATTTGACCTTTAGCATTTTACTGAGCATGAAGTTCAATTATCACATTTCATTGGAATATTAAGTTTGTACTGTTACTCAATCCAGCAACAATAGCTTAGTGATAAAACCTAAAACAAATTTGGCTGTATGTATGAATACACACAAATCAGCTTTACTTGTTTAATACTATGTCCACGTCACAAAATGTCTTCACATGAGATATACTTCTAACATAATCTTCATAAAATACTGATGCTGATTGTATTGGAATTTCAATGCAAGCCAAAGATAAAATAAGACAATGAAGAATTTAGCAATTTGTCTAGATATACCTTTTCTAATTAACTTACCTGAAGTAGAGCACACCAACAAGCTAAAACAAGCATGTCAAACTCAAAGGCTAACACGGGCCAAATAAACAAGGTTTAGGTTTATGTGGGCCGCAAAAAAAACCCCCAAAAACTTCAGTTTTCATAAAAACTTAGGTTTATTTCTAAAAGTACAGAATAAAAAAAGTTGGCTATTGCAGATGTGTAGCAAAAGGCTGCGCAGCCAATTGGCATCTCCATGGGGAGCGTTCAGCACCTCCATGCAGACCCAATCTAATACACTGCACCCTCCCCCTATTCTAATACACTGCCCACAAATCCAATACATTGCCCCTCTTCCTCCACTCTAATACATTGCCCACTCAACCCAATCTAATACACTGGCCTGCCCCCAGTTTAACACACTGCCCCCCTCCTTCCCCAAATAACTCTGCCCTTCCCCAGTTTAACACACTGCCCCCCCCTCCCACCACTATAATACACTGACCCCCTCTTTCCCCAAATGAATACACTGCCCTCCCCCAATTTAACACACTACCTCCCCTCCCACCACTGTAATATACTGCCCCACTCCCTCCCCCAATTTAACACACTACCTCCCCTCCCACCACTGTAATATACTGCCCCACTCCCTCCCCCAATTTAACACACTGCCCCCCTCCTTCCCCAAATAACCCTGCCCTCCCCCAGTTTCACACTGCCCCTCTCCCACTACTATAATACACTGACCCCCTCCTTCCCCAAATGAATACACTGCCCTCCCCCCAATTTAACACACTAACTCTCCTCCCACCACTCTAATATGCTGCCCCACTTCCTCCCCCAATTTAACACACTGCCCTCCTCCCTCTCTCCCTCAAATTAATAAACTGCCCCCTCCCTCCACAAAATGAATACACTGCCCCCTCCGTCCCCCAATTGAATACACCGCCCCTCAAATTTTGACATGCTTGAGCTAAAAGAATGTCATTGCACACATTTAAGTTGAGGAGCTTCTCTATATGTAAGCACATCTTGTTTGGATCAGTGAACTATAAAGGTTTTACGCTGCCATAGGAACCGTCTTAGTTGACATCGCACTTACCACCCTCTGTCAATCGCATATACATTCGCTCTCACGTGTAATTAGTGAAAAATAACTATTTAGCCGTTTACATACATAAGCATATAAACATACACAAGTAGCTAGACACATAAACAAAACATTCGTTCTATCTCTCTTTCTTTCCCTCTATCCCTGGTGCATCTTTGTTAATGGTGGAGATAAATGAACAAGGCTGCCATTTGTAGTTTCTAGTGGGCTGCAATGTGGATTTTTGTTCTACCAAGTTACTCCAAATCTGTGGTTGGCTTTGTTCCTAGAATTATTCCAGAATCATTATGGTGTACCCATTGAGCCAGCTGTGTTTTTGTTGTTTTTTCTTTTAACCACAAGTGCAAACACCTGATTAGCGAACAATTGAGCAACCCGCTATAAAAAATAAAATACATTTAAAAAAATGAAATTGATGCTTGGAAGTATTCGTGTTTGTGTGTACATTCAAATTGTGACTAGCTATATAAAGCTGTTGTACACTCAAATGCTTATCCATTACATCAGATGTAATGGATAAGAATTCCAGAAGTCCAGCAGGAGCAGGTAACTTATTGCTTGCATTCAGTTTGATTGGACATGAATTTTCAACAAAGCAGTTTGTGTTTTTGTTGTTTTGTTTTCTCTGGCCCTACACCAAGTAGATTAGAGTTCTAAACCAGAACTGATTTGTAATTTTTCTTGATCGCTTAGTTAATGTTAAATTGCCTAAAAGCCGCAGGAGCTTTGACACTGTCAGAGTTATAAAGTGAGAATTGATAGAAAATTCCATTGTATTTCACATGTAAGGCTAAAATCACCAAAATGGAACCATTATACAGGTCTGCTATGCTTCTAGTTTAATCTGAAATTCAGTGTGAATTCCTGAAAGTGCTCTCATTGGTGAATAACCCTGTCCCGTGCCTCTAGGGTTAGCATGCTGTGTGCTGGCTAAATTAACTCTTTAAATGAGACAATAGCTGCTTCATTGGATGAACTGAGGTACAGTAAAAGAGGTCCTGTAATGTGCACAATGTAATTACAATGTTAACACAGCCAGATTTATAGAATGGTATGTAAACCGGCCTCAGCAATAGCCCTTTATATATAAATCCCTTAACAATTGTTTACATGGATATTAATATAGAGTTAATGTTAAATATCCATATTTCATCTGCCTGTGCCATGTAAAATAACATCAGGGTTGTAAGAGGTCTTGTCTGCTTCGTATCAAGCACATATTACCTCAAATATTAATCTGCTGAAGGGAATTTGTGACTTTGATCATCTGTGCAGATTTGTTCACTGTCCTCATATCAAGGTCACAGTACACGAAGCCAACTGCTCAATTACAGTAAATAGACACATACTGCTCGTTTATATCCTGCCTTTCTGTGTACAATTCATCTGGTTTAACCTACCTGTGACAGCCCTTCGACTGCTATTCACCCATGCTCAAAAT